TCCACTTGACGTTGATGCTGCTGGTCTGGGAACACACTTTGAGAACCACCGCATGAAGGAATACAAAATGGTAGCATTCCTTCTATCCTTCTACAAAGGGAACCGCTCTTTGGCTACCCATGGAACCGTGTGCTTAGGGAAGTCTTTCTTTTCGCAGGCTTTGAACATAAGATCACAGTCCAGGCCTCTCCAACCCTGGACAAACGGAAAGGATCAGATGGGGTCAGCCCGCCCGCAAGCCCCAGCATCATCCCCCGGCTGAGGGCCATTCGCCGTGAGTATCTCCCAAGGCCCTGACCAGTCCGTCAGTGAACAGACTTCTCTGAGCACATACCTTGTACCAAGCCAGAGCAACACCAGGGGACCAGGTGGGCAGGGTCCCCTCCCTCATTCTCATGAGAGGAAACAGACAACAAGTAAACAAGCTGGTGAGCAGGATAATTTCCTGTAGTGATAAGCGCTATAAAGGAAATCAGGGAAGGGGATAAAACAGAAGAGTTGCTGTTTTGAAATCACAAGGAAGGCCTGTCAGAGAAGCTGAGGTTTGAGCAGGGACCTGCAATGGTAAGGAGGAGTGACACACGCAGAGATCTGAAGGAACAGCATCCCTGGCAGAGGGAACAGCAAAGACGAAGGCCCAGAGGCAGGAACAAGCATGGTGTGTTTATCAGCTGGGAAGGCCAACTTGGCCGGAGTAGGATGAATGGGAGAGACAGCACTAGGCTTATGGTCAAGGGTTCAGCAGGGTAGGATCACACTGGGCCTTGAGAGCTGGGATAAGGAATCTGGATTTTATTTTAAATGAGACGGGGGAGTCTCTGGAGGGCTGCGAGCAAGGCAGTGATGTGGTAAAGTTAACCTTTTCCCTCTGGCCACCGTGAGGAGTAGGGATTGGAGGACAGCAGGAGTCAAGGTGGGAGACAGGTGAGACGAGGGGGCTGGGCCAGGGCGGGGGCCTTGAAGAGGGGAGAGGGTGAGTCAGCTACATGGCAGAGGTACAGCTGTCAGGGTTTGCTGATGAGTTGAAGGGTACCCGGCCGGCTCCCCAGTCTGTTCTGCCCTATCATTCACCCCTGGCCTCGCCCCACACACCACCCCCTACACACACTTCTGTTTGGGCACCTGCTTTGTACCAGGCCCCAGAGGTCATTCTCCTGGGGGGATGCAAAGACAAATAATGACCAAACAGTGAGTCAGGACTAGCATCGGGGTACGTTCAACATGTGATAGGAACAGAGGAGAGAGAGCAACTGACGCTGCAGGGAACAAGTCCACCCCAGAACACTCCACAGGGCCTCAGCATCTGCTGTTCCCTCTGCCTGAAAGGCTCCTCTCCCTTGTATCAACCTGACTCGCTCCCTCACCTCCTTCAAGTCTTTGCTCATATTTCTGCTTCTCACACGTGAGACCTTCCCTCACTCCCCAAACCCCTTACCTGCTTTATGTTTCCCACAGCGCTTATCACCTCCTAGCCCCCTACCCAGGTGATGTACCTAGTGTGACTCTTGTTGATCGTCTGTCTTCACCCACTAAAACGCAAACTCCTCAGGGCAGGGACTTTTTTTTTTTAATATTTATTTATGTATTTGACTGCACCAGGTCTTAGTTGTGGCATGCAGGATCTTCGTTGCCCCGTGTGGGATCTTTAGTTGCAGCATGTGGGCTCTAGTTCCCTGACAAGGGATTGAACCCGGGCCCCCTGCAGTGGGAGTGCGGAGTCTTAGCCACTGGACCACCAGGGAAGTCCCCAGGGCAGGGACTTTTGTCTGCTTTGACCACTGCTGTCTTCTCAGGACCTGCCACGGGCTTGGCACATAGCACGTGCTAGTAAACCTTTGGGAATGAATGGATGGCTGAAAGGTATAGGCTGTGAGAAGTGACGGGTGATGAAACTGAGGAAGCTGGATGTCGTCCTGACAGCAGTGGGGAGCTATGGAAGGATGTAGAGCAGGGGAGGGTCATGATTGGAGTTGGAGTCCAAGCTCCCTTGGGCTTCCAGGTGGAGGGTGAGACCAAGGGGAGAAGAGTAAGGCTGGGAGCTCAGCGGGGACAGACTAAGACCCACTAACCAAGTGGCTTCTCTCGGCCCAGTGACTCCTGTGGATGGTGGTGGAGGTAGCAGCAGTGGCAGCAGCAGTGGTGGCAGTGGGACATGGGGCCGCAACAGTGGACCCCCAAAGAAGGAAGAACTGGTTGGGGGCAAGAAGAAGGGCCGGACCTGGGGGCCCAGCTCCACGCTGCAGAAGGAGCGGGCTGGAGGAGAGGAGAGGTATTGGCTACATGGAGCCCATCCCACACCCTGTGCCTCTTCCCCAGGCCCTTGGCAGCCAGGAGGCCTATAACCCCCCATCTTTGGTGACCCCTGCAGGCTGAAGGCCCTGGGAGAAGGAAGCAAACAGTGGTCATCAAGTGCCCCCAACCTGGGCAAATCCCCCAAACACACTCCCATCACCCCAGGCTTTGCTAGCCTCAATGAGATGGGTAAGAGGGTGAGGGTGCCTTTAAAAGGGAGGGGGAAGGAATATTCCCTGGCAAAGGGGACCGTAACCCAAGACCAAGGGGTGACCATTCCCCAGGGCTGCAAGGAGGGAGCCGGATTTCACTGGGCCAGAGGGTAGGACACATACCTGGAATGGGAGCAGCCGGTCCCTGGGGTGTGGGGATCGTTCCCCGGAGGAGGGGGTTTGAGGGGAGAACTAGTCGAGAACCACGCTTAGTGGGCCCTGGTGTTCTTGTTGGAGGGGTCATTTCATTGGGGCAACCCCTTGCCTCCAGATCCGAGGGGGGTGGGCCGAGGGGCCAGGCGCCTAGAGTTAAGTGAGTCGAGTCCAGTGACGGCCCTCTCCCGGTTGCAGAGGAGTTCGCGGAGGCGGACGGAGGCAGCAGCGTACCCCCCTCGCCCTACACCACCCCATCCTACCTCACGGTGCCGCTGCCCAGCCAGCCCTCCCCCGGGGCGCGGGCGCCGTGGGAGCCAACGCCGCCCGCCCGGCCCGGGCACGGCTCCCGGCGGCGCTGCGAGCTCGCGCTGCTGGGCTGCGCCACGCTGCTGGGCGCCGTGGGCCTGGGCGCCGACGTGGCTGAGGTGCGCTCGGTCAACGGCGAGGAGCCGCGGAGCTGGCTCGATGGCCTCTTCTTCCCCCGCGGCGGCCGCTTCCCGCGGGGCCTCAGCCCACCCGGGCGCTCCCCGAGCCGCCGCGATGACGCGGCCCCCGGCCCGGGCCTGGCGCCCTCGGCCACCCTCGTGTCGCTGTCGTCCGTGTCCGACTGCAACTCCACGCGTTCGCTGCTGCGCTCCGACAGCGACGAGGCCGCGCCGGCCGCGCCCTCCCCGCCGCCCTCCCCACCCGCACCCGCGCCCAGCACCAACCCCCTGGTGGACCTGGAGCTGGAGAGCTTCAAGAAGGACCCCCGCCAGTCACTCACACCCACCCACGTCACGGCCGCGCGCGCTGTGAGCCGCGGGCACCGGAGGACGCCGTCAGACGGGGCGCTGGGGCAGCGGGGGGCGCCCGAGCCCACCGGCCCTGGCCTTGGTGAGTGAGGCTCCACGCGCCCACGGCGCAGAAAAAGGCCCATCTCCCGTGCCCCCCGCCAAAGCCCTGTGTCCCAGCCCAGCGACGACCCCCTGGATGCTAAGGCATCCTCCCCTGCTTAGCAAGGGGAGGGGGGGGCCTGTGTCCCCATGGTCCCCACTGCTTTGTGAGGCATTGTGAGTCCCTGGGTAATTGAGACGCAGGGTGCAGTAGGGCTGGCAAACTCTAATGCCTACAGGGGCCAGGCAGGTGACATTAATGGCAACAACAATTACTAGAGCTAATACCCATGTGCTATGCCCTGTTCTATATAGTTTACTAACTCACAAGGATGATTAGAACAGATAGGAGCTAAGGGCTTCCTATCAGGCACTGTGCTGCTTGTTCTACAATTACTGTTATCATTTTATTTAATCCTCACCTATGTAGCAAGGTGCTGTCATCCCCATTCACAGACAGCAACATGCCTGAGAGGAGTCTCTGGGTCTTTGTGAACCTGGTCCAGTGTCAGAGAGGTGCGAGGGATGAGGGCTTTGTCTAGAGTAGCAGCAAGGACATGGGCTCTGAAAGATAAAGGACTGTGCCCAGAGTTGCACCCAGATGATTGAGCAGTCGGGGGGGGGGGGGGTAAAGGTCCGAACCCTGCTGGTAACTGGGCCCAACAAAATCAGCAGATTTTTCAAGAGAAGTCAAATTCCAATTTCATGCAAACGCTCCTGGCTTTTAAACACCACCCTCTGGCCCACGCCACTCACCTCATCTGATCCTCTCTTACCAGGCCCTCGAGATCCTCTGGACTTCCCCCGCCTGCCCGACCCCCAGGGCCTGTTTCCCACCCGCCGTCGGCCCCCCGAGTTCCCTGGCCGTCCCACCACCCTGACCTTCGCCCCACGACCCCGGCCAGCTGCCAGCCGTCCCCGCCTGGACCCCTGGAAACTGGTCTCCTTTGGCCAGACACTCAGCATCTCTCCTCCCAGCAGGCCGGACACTCCGGAGAGCCCCGGGCCCCCCAGCATGCAGCCCACGCTGCTTGACATGGACATGGAGGGGCAGAGCCAGGACAGCACAGTGCCCCTGTGTGGGGCCCACGGCTCCTTCTGAGGCCTGCCCACCACCGCCCGCCTGGGCAGCCATGAATGTAGCGCCCCAGGCCCCGCCCCAGCCCACCGTGCCACAAGGCAGGGGAGGCCCTGGGCAGGATACTCACTCTATTTATTGGGGAAGGGGGGGAGGGAGGGCAATTAATTTATTCCTTTGTACCTGGGGGTGGGGGGGCCCTGTGCCTGCCCTGCGGTGGGGGGGAGGGTGGGCAGGGATACTCAGGGACAGGGCATCATGGGGGATTCGGCACAAAACGCAGCATTAAAGGTAACCCCTGCCCCCTACCACGCTTGGCTGTGTGTCTTTCCCTGTGCCGGGCCCTGATCCTAGATCGTGCCCAGTGGGACACCCGCCCCCCCATGCTCCCAGGCCTCGCTGGATCTCCGAGGTCCAGGCCCACGTCCCCACCCGGGCCCCCGCAAGAACACCACACGGAGAGGTTGTGGTCACCAGCGGCAAGTGCTTTACCAGCAAACACATGAGTCAGGGGAAGTTACATGGTGAGGTGGGGGGCAGTGGGGGTAGGGACGGTCCCCCCAAGTTGGCCTCAGCCAGTGACACCCCGGGACGCGGCCCCAGCCCCACTGTCTTCCCGCTGGAGGCTGCAACGGTTCATCTTCAGCTGAGTCAGCTGGATGTAGCGCAGGACGTTGGTGTCTGCAGGGGAGGTGGGCAGGGCATTATCTGCGTGTCCTGGGGCAGCAGGTGACATCTGCACCACCTCGGCTCACACTTCATGGTCCCCGGCCTTCGGCGGCCCACCCCGCCACGGCTGGTAGAGCCAGAGCCCTTCTCCCAAAGCCCCAACCGAGCAAGCAGAGCAGGGTGTGTCACACGTCCACACTTCTGCATCTGCTGTGCCCTCTGCCAGGAATGCCTCTTCTCAGAGACTCCTGTCACACTTCTTACCCTCCAGTGATAACTGTAAGAAGCCTGTTCCCTCCAAACTGCTCAGCAGGAAAACTCATCTTGCCCCTGCTCCCACACCCTGTGTCATGCACCTGCTGTGCTCCCTCTGCAGTGGCTCCTAAGACAGAACTGAGTATTGTGTCTGCCGCCACCCCACCGCACACACACCCTATGACCTCCCACAGGGCAAGGGACAAGCCTCCAGCTCTGCCAACCCCGCCCCCTGCCAGTCTCCTGGCACTGCCGGGAAACAGGTGAAAGAATAGGTGAGTGTGTGAACAGGTTAGTGAGCAGATGAATTAATTCAGGGGGAGGGGAAAATGGCGATGGGGGAGGGGGTTGTGAGTGGCCAGGGAAGTGGCTGAGTAGGTAAATGGGAAGCAGCAGGACGGGCTCAGGACGGAACACATGAGAGGTGGTTGGGCGAACGCCAGAGGAACGAGGGGTGAGTGGGCGCGAACGAACGGCAGGTGAGTGGAGGAGTGGGTGTGCAAGGAGTAGATGGGTGGAGGCCGGACGTGGGGTGAGGGGTACAGCATTCATTGAAGCAGCTCTGCCCTGATCCTCCTGCCCTTGTTTCCTCCTCTCTAGCCCCTTTCCCTGCTCCCTCCCCGCCCCCTCACCTGTGGGTTCGCGGCTGCGGGCCTCCTGCAGGTAGCGCAAAGCACGTGCATAGTCGCCCAGGTGGTAGAAGGCAATGCCGGCGCGGTAGGTCGCCTTGAAGTTGCCCTGCTGCTTCTCCAGCACCTTGAGACAGTACTCGCGCACCCGCTCGTAGTTCACCAGCTCCGACTGCAGCAGGCAGGCTGCGGGGGCACCACGACCGACACTCGCAGAGCCTGTCGACACCCCAGGCCTCACCTGACCGCAAGGAGCCTGGCCTTCAGGCTGCGGAGGACCCCTTCCCTTTCCCACGGCTGAACCCGGCCTAAGGGATTGCTCAGGCCACCGGGGGCCGCCAAGCTTCTGACCAATCAAGACAGAATCAATCTGCACCGCCACTAGAAGGCGCGAAAAACACAGACAGGGGCTCACAGGTGCTTAGCTGGGAGGTGTCTGTAGGGGAGAGTACTAAGGGTGATCTCAGAGGTGAGGGACGGGTCCTTGAATGGCTCATCCAAAGTAGGTTTTTCTCACCTGAGGTTCGCAGGTCGCAGCCCAAAGCCCATTTCCTGCATCCCAGCTCCTTCCATTCCCTGTGGTCCCCTAGACTCCCAACCCCTCTTCCTGATCAAGTTCTGAGGTCTCCCACCACAGACCCCAGCCCTAGCCGCTTGAAGCCTCCAGCCGCCCCCCCAAGGCTTGACTAGTGCCTCTCACGTCCCACCCCTCTCACATATGCACCCTCTGCGCTCCCCGACGGCCCCGTACCAGTGAGAGAGTCATAACATTCCACCTCCGTGTTCTCCACCAGGCGCCGCTGCTCCTCGCTGAGGCGGGCTGGCCCTTGGCTGGTGGCGGGCCCGGGGGCGGGGGCGGGAGCGGGCAGGCCTCCAGGGCGGGCCCCCTGCGCCGCCTTCAGTTGCAGCAGTGCCCGATGATACTTGCCGATGGCTTCCCGGAACTTCTTCTCTCGGTAGCAGCGCTGACCCTCCGCCTTAAACGCCACGGCGGCCCGCAGGCTGCTGTCGAGAGCCGCACCCAGGCCCCCCGACGGCTCTGGGGCAGGACTGGACCGAGCCGACCCATGGCGGGGGCTGGGGCCCGGCGGGGAAAGGGCGGGAGGCGGGCACGGCGGAGGCTCCGGGGCAGCGCTGAGCATCAGCACCGGGGACAGCGCGCCGCGCTGCATTGTGGGAAACTCCTGCGGCCGCCGCTGCAGCTACCGCATCGCCCCCCCGCGGGGCTGGTCCCCATTCTTTCTCCGCCCCCGCACCTCCGGTAGCCGACTCCGGCTGCCCCCTATGGGTCTAGAGAAACCCCTCAAGACTTCCCCACTGTCTCCTTCAAATCCCTTCTTCGCACTCCCCTTACCCTCCCAATCCTCCTGCTTGCTCTCCTCTCCCATGCCCAAAGCTCCTAAACCTTTCTAGAAGGAAAGAACAAGTCTGGGAGAAAGAGCAGGAAGATAACAACCTCGTGGAAGGCTGGTTTTCAGACCGCTAGGCATTTGGCATATTGGATAAGAACACAGGCTATGGATGCAAGCTGCCCAGATTCAAATACCTGCTTATTTTCTCACTAGTTGTATGACTTAGATAAATCACCTGAATTACCTGGAACTCTGTATCCTCATCAGTAACATGGGACTATGATAGCAACTTTGGAACCCATTCATTTATCTATGCAACAAACAAATATTCACTGATATCTTTCTGTGCCCAACTCTGGGGCTGGGTGATGCTGGGACATAGCAGGGACTGAGAGAGCCTCAGATTCTACCCTCACTGGGTCCCTAGGGAAGTGGGGGAGACAGACCAATGACCAGACAGTGGCAGCCCAGAGTGGGCTAGCCTGGGATGTACAGGCAGGGGGGTCGGGGCTGGGACGCGGGAAGCACAACAGGCTCTGACGGCCCAGAGGAGGTACCCAGCATAGGCTGAGGTGGTGAGTGAAGACTTCCTGGAAGAGGGGAGAACTCGATGAACAAGAGAGATCTGCTTCTTGCCCTTATTGAGCTCACTGTCTGGGTAGGAAAACCAGTGGGAAAGCAGTCAAGTGACAGCCCAGAGTGAGGAACACAATAATAAAAGAGTGTAGAGAAGGAAATACATGAGAGGCTTTCGAGAGAAAAACTGAGGGTGAATGATTGTCCTTCAACACTCCTTAGCCGCTTACTCAGGGGTGGGACCTTGGCCAAGCTCCTTGGTCTTCCTCCACCTTCCTTCTGTGTAACAGGGAGGTAACAAGTGAGCTTACTTCAGAGTAGCTGTAGGAACTGAATTATATTATGCAGGTAAAGCACAGGGCCTGGTACAGTAATGGGCAAATAACAGCCAGTGTTTCTTATCGTCCATGAGACTGAGATATGTGGTCGTAAGTGCCTGACGCTGAGTCGGCATCCACATATAGTTGAATAAATGAGTAACTATGTATTAGCACCATTACCCCCCCCACACACACACACCCAAGACCCTAGCTGGAGTCTCATCCCCAAGCACCAAGCCTGCATTTCCACTGTCCCCTCCCCCTCCCACTGCACATCCTTCCCCCGGAGGTCCCATGGCAGTTCCCACCCAACAGGCCCAAACCTGAACATGACACCTTTCATCCCAACTGCAGTATCTGCTTCTATATTTTATTGTACTTTGCTGAGTCTCTCCCTGATCCCCAATCCTCCAAACTTGAACACCTCAGTGGTGAAAACTTCCTCCTCTCTGCACCTCCAAACCCAGGCTTGGTTAAGAGTCTAATATTCCCGAGATTGGATTCCAGAACAGCATTGGTCACCTTTCTGCACCTCGGGCATGTTTTTGTTTTAATTAAAAACTTGGAAACCCACTGATTCATAACAATTATTTTCTGAACACCTACCAAATGGCTAGGTGCTAGGGGCTCGGTAGAAACAGGGGACAACTGTACCTCACGATCCTGCTAGGATGCAATGCTAGCACATTCGCAACACCTACTAAGTGTCAGACACGGTCCTAAAGCTTTAGGTTTATGTTAACTCACGTCCTCATCACACCACCAAGAGGTCGGTATTATATTATACCTACCGACACTGTGGCACTTCAGAGGTTAAGTAAATCACATCCCATTTAACAAACTCTTGCCATCAAAGGCCCATACTATCACAAACTGATGACCCTCACAGGCCAGTATATGTAATGTGTTAGATTTGTGCAACCGTTAAAAATATTGAATTAGTTGCCAGCATTAGAAGAGCAGAGATATTTATGGAATCACAGATTTTCAGCTTCTTTCGTGAACAAAATCTGAAAATCTGGCAACATCAAGGTAGCTAGCATTCCTCATGACTAGGACAGGCATTCTCAGTTTCTCACAGTCGCCATTGCTCCTAGCTTCTCCCCAACCCGAAGACCGAGTTTCCTTTGCTTGCATTGCGATTTTCCTCTCAGCATCCCTAACTCCCGCAAGCGTTTGCGTTAGGGATCCCCGTTTTGTCCCGCTCAGCGGTGCTTGCGGAAGCCCGCCACTGCCCCCTGGCGGCGGAGTCCAGAATTGTCATCGCGTCTCCCAGCAGCCATTAAGGGACTTGGTGAGAACATCCAATCAGATGGGTGAGAAGCCCGGGAAGTGACCAATCAAAAGCGACAGAGGGGCCAGAATTCGACCACTGAGGATAGAGAGCGCTCGGAATAAAAAACTCTTTTATTGAAGTGGGAGACAGACGCACAAAGAGAGTGTTTTTTTGCTGGGGTCTCGGGGCTCAGGGAGGCCCGGCCGGGGGGTGGCGGAGCAGGCGGGCGGCGACGAGGCTGGTGCCCTGGCGTTGGGGCCGCGCGTACTTGAGGAAGATGGCGGCGAGGCCGGGCGCAGGGCCTCGGAGCGCGGCGCGGACCATGCACGGCTCGACCGGGCCCAGCTCCGCCCGGCTGCGGCGGAGAGACGGAGAAACAGAGATGAGGCAGGGGTAGCGGGGAATAGGAGACGACCTGTCCTCGGAGCTTGGGGCTCGAGGCTGAGAAGACAAGCTGACTTGGGTCCCCGAGGACTTCTCAGGAGTTCTCTCGAGGTCGGACACGCGGTCCATCATCTAGAGTGACTGGAGGGCGCTGACGAGGGGCAGACCCCCTATTTTTCCCTCAGAGCGCGGCTATGGGAGAGCCAGGACCCGCGGAGAGGGAAGGACTGGGGCTGAGGATGGGCAGACAGACATCCAGCTCTACCCTAGGGCACGGGCTGGAGGAAAAGATGATTCACCCTGCCCCGCGGTGGCGTGGTTAACAAGGAGATGAGGGACTCCAGCAGCTAAAGGGACACCAATTCGTGGCCAGGAAGGGAGCTAAGGGACTCGAGGCTGGCAGACCTCTCGTTCTCAACCCTGGAACGCAGCTAGAGCATCTTCTGGGCCTGAGGAGATCCTATTTTTCACCCTGGGGCAAGGTTAAGGGCCCCCACATCTGAACAAACACCCCAGTCTCTCAGACACCCCCAGAGAAAAGCAAATGGGACCCCCCAGACGAGGCAGACACCCCATTCTCTCTCGCACCCAGCAAACAAGTCTAGCCCCACCCCAGCCCCCAGCCCCCCGCACACACACCTAATTGTCTCACATTCTCTGAGACGGGAAAGACGGCGACCAAGAAGGTAGGCCCTGAAGCCACAGAGAACCTCCGCCGCGGCCATACCTGTAAAGCGCCGGCTCGGGCCCGGAACCCGCCCCGTGGAGCACCCGGTGTGCCAGGCTCAGTGCTGCAGCGGCACAGCGACCCGGCTCCCATCCTGCTGCCTCGGCCTCCAACAGAGACAGCTCCAGGAAGTAAGTGGCAAGTAGCAACACCTGCCATTGTGGCGGGGAGCAATCAAGTCACGCCCCTTCCCGTGCAGGCCACGCCCCTAGCCGCGCAGGTCACGCCCCTGCCCCGCGCACCTGGGGGCCGCTCCGGGCCAGCGCAGCAAGCAGCCCGAGGCAAAGTAGCGGGCCCGGGTGGTGCAGCCGGAAATCCAAGCGGCTCAGGATGCGGCGCTCCGCGCACAGAAGCTCGGCCCGCGAGAAGGAGCCATCGCCCAGGAGGCAGAGGGAGGCGGGCTGGGAATTGGGGGGAAAGAGGTGGAGGAATCTTGAACCCCGGCTCGTTACTCCCTGCCCTTGAGCTCCTGGGATCGGTTCAGTCCCTGTGCTGTACCTCAGTTTCCTGGTCTGTAAAATGGGGCCATTGATTTGTTGTCTGGAAATCGTGGGAAGCAGAGGCTTCAGAGTCAGATAGACTTGGTTCCCGAGCTCAAACCTTACCATTTACTCTCTGTGTGACATGGACATCCACTGAAGCTCTCTAAGATTCAGTTTCTTCATCCATAAAACGGAGATGTTACTCCCTACTTCACCAGGCAGTTCTGATACGGCACTGAGTTTATGCATGTTAACTATAACTACTCAAGAAGGACTATAGGGGCTTCCCTCGTGGCGCAGTGGTTGACAGTCCGCCTGCCGATGCGGGGGACACGGCTTCGTGCCCCGGTCCGGGAGGATCCCACATGCCGCGGAGCGGCTGGGCCCGTGAGCCATGGCCGCTGAGCCTGCGCGTCCGGAGCCTGTGCTCCGCAATGGGAGAGGCCACAACAGTGAGAGGCCCGCGTACCGCAAAAAAAAAAAAAAAAAGGACTATAACTACTCTAACTATTCAAGACTGAGTTCAAGTCCCAAATGTGCCTTTGGGCAAATGTCTTCCTCTCTCTGGGCCTCAGTCTCTTCCTCTGTTAAAGGGACACACTGGTAGCCTCTACCACAGGCAGACATGCTGGGATTCCAAGAGTAGGTAAAGTGCTCGCTTGGCACACAGTAGGCATTTAATCTGTGATGCGGCGAGGAAGGGCTCCACCCTCCCAAGCCCCGCCCCGGGAGTACCTCTGGAAGCACGCACTCTTCCATTTTGCACGCCACGAACAGGCAGGCCACGCCCAGCAGCTGCAGGCGGTGTAGGCGCACTCGGCCCGCGCCTAGGTAGGAATCGAGCAGGTGCACGGCCAGGTAGAGCGTGTCCCCCGCCAGGCCCAGGTACTCCTGGGGAGAGGCGCAGGTAATCACCATGGTTCTAGGATGCTACGCAGGCCCAGCCCTTTCTCCCTCCCCATTACGTACGTGAACCTGCACTAGCCAGTCCACCACTAGCGCGCGCATCTCCGGGGTCACGGTGCGGGGCAGCGCCCTCCGGGGCAGCGCGCGGCACACCTGGGGTCGGGCAGGAACGGCGTCACTCTCCTCACCTGTGCCTCGGCTTCTCTCCCGGTCTCCAGCCCTGGGTGCAGCAATCTCCTCGCACCAGTTGGATGTCCCGAGTGCCACACACAAACTGGCTTCCGACGTCCCCTCCGAATATGCTCTTCCGTGTCCCCATCTAGAACCCTGGACGCCTCACTTTCCATCTCTCCAGTCTAGCCCCCATGGCCACAGGACTTCCTGAGCATCTCCTCCCGGGTTCCCAGACTCCAATCTTAGTCACCAAGCCTCAACCCATCCTCCTCAGAGCACCCAGAGGGTCTTTCTAAAGTATAAATCTGACCAAGGAACTCCCCTGCTTAAAACCCTTCCTTGGCTTTCAGTACCCTTAGGAGAAAATCCCAATTGCTCTCAGACTCTCTCAGGCCCCGCTCCAACATCACCTCTTCCCTCTCTCCCCTCACAACCCACACTCCTGCTCCAGCGTTCTTTTGGCCCTAGACTATGCCAAGCTCATTCGTACCTCAGGACCTTTGCACTTATGTACCGGCCATTCCCTCCAGCTGAAATGGTCATTCCCCACTCCTTGCATTGCTGACTTCTCGGTCATTCCAGTCTCAGCTAAAATTTCCCTGACTTTTTCTATACTTTTCCTTGCATGCCATCATCTCTATCTCATTGCTTTATTTTCTTCATAGTATTTCAGTCTGGAGATACCCTGTGTTTCCTTGAATGTTTTGTCTTTTTGCCCCACTAGACTGCTGGCACCACGAGGGCAGGGATTTCTGTTCAGATCACAGCTGTGTCTTGGTTCCTAACAGAGACCCTGACCCAGGAGAGATGCTCACAAGATGTTTGTTAAATAAACACATCCCTTCAGTATTTCTTCTGGCAGTGCCTGTCTCAGACAGTTAACTGTGGACCACCGTGGCCTGTGTTTGGTTTTTGTGGCCCTTCTGAAATTATCACCCGCATTTGTTTGTCTCCCCACAGTGAGGACAGACTATCTCATGTTGTCCATCGCAGCATCCCCAGTGCCTAGAACATGCTCAGAAACGTTTGTTATAACTCGCTAAATAGTTGGTAAGTGAGTAAATGTGAGGGACAAGTACGAGAGGTTATGCAATACCAAAGGAGGGGCTGCAGACAGCCTGGGGAAGATGGGAAAGGGCATTCCCGGCAGTGGAAACCACACAGGTAACAGTGCGAGAGAAAAGCCAACTTGTGGATGGCAGTGGCGTAAAAGCTGCAAAGTCGGGTGGGAAGCGAGGTGAGAGGCTGGCGAGGTGG